CAATCATATCCTTGATCTGTAACAGTCTATTTTGTTCCTATCACAATCCAATTTCCTTTGTCCAAGATTCTTAGAAATTGCTCTGCTGATGCTTCAGTGGCCACGAAGAAACTGAAGCGCTGAATTGCTGTTAGTCTTTTTTCAAACAAGCATTCGAAAGAGTTCATTTTTGCTGGCCCTTGGAAGGACTCTAAACATTTTATTTACATGCTTTTCTGAACTACTTTGAGCACTTAGGTCGGCAGAGCCACCTGCAGTAGCACATTAATATGTGCTAATCCTTTGGCCTTCTTTATGGACTGAGCAGCAAGCTTTAGCTCTTTTCAAGATTAACTTTCAAAGCAGTGCATCGGTGGAGTTTTTCATGTATAGGATTTTTATCATAATGCAATTCCAGCTCACTTTAATAAATCCGTGCTGCACTTTCCTTGCTATACTCCTAACATAGTTAAACCTAAGCGAGGTTTGACGTTTATCACGATGTTTCACGCAGTACGACCTCTTTAGCCGCAGTATGTACGACCATCGGACGAAAGGCGGCTCCAAGACGTAGAAAAGAAGTAAGCACTTGTGTAATGGTCATGATCAGCGGTATTCAATAATCGTTAATTTTCAGGCATTCTGTTTTCCGTCCGTTGCTCATTGCCCACCTGAAACGACGACATCGGTACCTGACCATCCGAGTAAGCAGGTGTTTAAGTTTCGTTTTAAAATTTTTGAAACTCGAGCCACTTCCTTGTCTTGAATCCATTGATCCAACTCTACCTTTGTGATTGCATGCAGATGATTTTTATCAACGGGAAAGTAATGATATGTAACCGATCGGTTTGTATGTATAAATATGGAAACACTCGAGGTTCTTTGGTTCAAGACAAAGTGATTAATATCATCTATAAAGCATTTTTTATTCCGTCGATAAAGGTATAAACGTATGCAGAGAATCATATTTATGGTGAATACGCATTTTAGTATGCGTACTAGACAAGGAAGAAGGATGGGAATGTGAGAGCAAGGAATAAGTGCGCTTGAACAACGTAGTTGCCATCAATGTGATATTATATTTTTTTGCATAAAGCAATAAAGCAAGTAATTAACGTTATCAGGGCTGAAGCAGATTGTTCATCGTCACTGGGTGTCGAACTGAGGTGATTTAGAAAGTAATTGTATTTTTACTTCGAAAAATGTATCATTTGTATATTCATCGCTTGTCTATTACGGATTATTTTGTGCCGCAGCAATGCGGTTCTAATAAATCGACGTAACTGGTTTCTTTATCAGGAAGGTCAAGTTTCCTGCAGTGTACGTCACTGTTCGGCAGATGGTCGTCAGATGTATTTTAAACGTCACCAGCGCCGTCATATCCGCAGCTTTTCCCGCCCGACTCATAGCTGGGTGTTGATTTCTATAGTTTCAGCCTAACTGAAAACTGAGTTAGCTGTATCTTGATGATGGCTGTTACCGCCTGTCGGTTCAGTACTCTAGATGGTCGCGGTACTGATAATTGTAAAACGATTCTTTTTGAGAAAATGTTCAGGCCATTGAAGAACTCTCTCTGAGTAAAACTTCAATGATTTAGTATGATTTGATGAGACCGATGCATTTGCTGATTTCATTTGATATCATGCCGATAATCCGCCGGTCTGATAGATAAAACTGTTCATTGTTTCGATTGTTAGCTTGAAAACGTGTATAATTTCATTAGTTGGATAGGGAAGATTGTTCCTGTTTATGCTTTGGTTCACATAAATTTTTGTGGAAGAGGCGTTTTACTGTTAAACCTAATGTCTACTCATGATGATGCTTTCTACGGTAATAATTTAATGCGTGCATGATGGCTGAAACGATGCAACCGGAATTGAACAGTGAGGTTTTATAGGTCACACTGTGGTTTACACATTGTTTTGTACTAGTGGACATTATTTAATCAGTTTACATCGTTGTTTCCGTGTTGAACGCCTCTGCAGTCATGCCAAGCAAACCATGGCTCTCCACTATTTTAGTACATGCGGGGCATACGCGGCTGGTCGTCATTGAACGTCATGGTGTCATTATTCCGTAGGTTACTTTGTGACCACATGAAAATGTAGCTGCTTATTCCATGAAGGCGTAGGTGAGTGTTATGGTCTCACAAACCGGGTTACATCGTTTCGTGGCACCTGCCAATGGTTCTAGTGATCAGGCCACGTTTTTTCTGCTTTCGCATTTGCTGCATATCGCTGCTTTTCTCCTCGTTTATTTCTGGCTTACCACTAGTGTTCATCAGCTATTCATCGTTGTACGTTTTAAAAGAGAATCAACACATGGCTCCAGAAACTGTCAGATAATAATCACCAATATCGTAATCAGTATGCATAATTGAATTTTGAGTTCACAGCTAACTCAATTTGTTTTTAAAATTTTTTCTGTGATTTTTCAGCTTGATTCGACGTTGTTCTTTTTATAGGAAAAATACCTGACGGAAAAGTACAACCAGCAACGGCAAACATGGCTGAAAAAGATAGAGCGATTAGAGAAAAATCCAAAAAAAGTGTACGCTATTTTATTGTGTTGTTTTATCTTGTTTTTAAACGTGATAAGTGGCAGGTGATTTGTTTGTGCGACAGACGATGATATCTTCCGAAGTTTCACAGATGAATGAAATAAGCTTAACTCTTTTTGATTGAGAGCAACAGCAAAAATTTGCTGATCCTTTTTTGTAGTTCCCCGGGGGGAAGGGTCACCACCGCCTAGTCTGGATATCGACGCACGATCTGTTTCGTGCAATTTGTCACCACAGGCTGTCATATCTTTCTCTTAACTCATCGCCAGTCCTGAACCGAAGCCTTTTATTTCGGTGCTAATAACCATTTAGCCACCGGTCGTCCGTTAATCCGGCGATGTAGCCCCCTCAGTCTAATTTGAGCTGCAGGCAGTGGACTGGCGGCCATTTTTTGTTTATGTTTTCGATTTCGACTAATTGTTTTGCTATTGCCCAGTCTTGACAATATTGGCGCGTCTGAAAATGCATCTATTAGTTGCTGTTCGACCAGTCATCCTTAATGTTTGTTGATATTTGATCTTTGGCGTCACGTCATAGCGGATATTTTGTGTCTGTATTATTCGAGCAGGTGACACATGAAGGTGATCAGCGGCAAACATCGAACCTCCGATGAAAATTATGATAAGGAGTGCGCGGATGTAATAACTCTTTGCGACATTCAATAAGTAGCCGTGCTTGTCAGGCATCTTGCCCAAAACGTTCGTTTGGCCTTCACTGGATGTTCGCGATGTCATATAAGGTTTTTGAGGCTTTCCAAGGCATACACAGAGAAAGATGTTTTTTAACGTACGAACTTGCATTACCAACTTCGTGTACAGAATGCTGTGATTTGGGAAATCCCTATTACACACTGAGTTGAGTGGTGCTAAGCAAAATAAAAATGGGTATAAACCAAGTCCTGGTAGCCTTTGAACTTTCGCTTCGCACCTTAAGCATATAAATGGGAGGCTGAAAATTTCCGCCTAGCAGACGCCATTGACGAATATGCAGAATATCCATTAGAGCAATGCTGTCGCTTTGCTATAGGTCTGAATATTTACAATTTACAATCCAAAAAGTTGCTCCATTTAACATGAACATAATTTTTCGTCACGTCAAAACTGAAGTATTTATAAGTAATGACAGATGAGCGTAATGTTTTACATCAACCTATTGACCATAAGGTGCGTCTATTTACTATTAAAAGCTTACAGTGATCAACTAGTGGTGAAAAAATGTTATTTTATCCAGCATCCATGGGTGTCGTTTCAGTTAGACCATGCAGTCAGTCATTAATTTAAATAGTTCCCTTCTACGAGGTCTGTTTGGCTTAGACCATGGTTATCGACGTCGTATCCGGTTCAGTAAAATCAGTAAGTTGTATCGGTACTCAGTTTTGGGTAGTTTGGCTGAATTTGCCTTTAGTAATTTACATTTTTTTTCACGGTTTTCAAATTTTAGTGCGAGAGATGCAAAGTACCGTGAAGTCTTCGAAAAGACTTTTCCGGAACTGCGAACAACGCGCGAATCCGTCGAGCGACGTCTCAGGTGAGAAAAACTCGTATGGACCATATTGTGGAGTGTTGTGTCGACTTTTAGACAAATTAACTTGTTGTTCTAGGCTTGAATCGCACCTATCGTCAACGTCTCAGCCGGAAGTGGATGTCGATACAGAGAAGGTACAATCAATCGATTTATTTCGAAGATTGAAATTGCATATGTATTTTTGTTAGTCCCAAGAATACGGTAATAGTTTGTTAATTCTAAATTTAGTTGTATTTCTATATTATGTATATCAAATAATATTATTATTTAATGTAACTTTGTAATCCACTAATGTTTCTTGAGAATTTGAAACCGCATAAAAAAATCTCATGCAAATCTACGTCGATAATTCGTAAAATATTCTCTAGT